GTCTTGGTTGACACGCCTCTGCAATGTCGCATGGCGGTTGGGGACAGTGCCTCTGGACTGGCAGACCCGGGTGGTGGTCCCTCTTTTTAAGAAGGGGGACCAGAGGGTGTGTTCCAACTATAGGAGGATCACACTCCTCAGCCTCCCCAGGAAAGTCTATGCCAAGGTACTGGAGAGGAGAATTCAACCGATAGTCGAACCTCGGATTCAGGAGGAACAATGCGGTTTTTGTCCTGGCCGTGGAACACTGTTTCAAACATGTTCCTCATATTTAAATATATTCCACTTCTTTGCCTCTTTGTATGAAAACAGACTGTGCGTCTCTTGCCAAAGTCAAGAACTTCTCTTTGTTGATTCACCTTGAAATGGCTTCAAACTGTTGCTGATTGCTTTGGCTGCAACAGTCTCTCTGCTCGCACCCTCTATAATCACATCTAATCTTCCTGACCAGATTGCTGCTCTGTGCCGTGTTGATATGACAACAACCCTGATTGCTATCCTCAGACCCACTTTTCATTTCCCATCTCCCCTTGCCTTCTTGTTTTGCATGGCATCCAATCCTAATTGAGATGAAGCCTTTGCGATGTTTGCAGCACTACCTGGATGCTGCATGTGGAATGTTGTGAGCACTAACTGAACCCCAAATGTTTGTACCCCTCCCCTCTTTCCTTCCCCTTCCTTTAACAGTAGCCGACGAGATTAACCTCACCCCACATCCCGAGACCAGCACAGGTAAGGACCGGTGTACTGACAGGTAGAAAGGAAAACTTTACTTCAAAACCATCACTTTCTGTTCCCAAAATGTATTTCCAAGGTCTGCACTGAGGGGTAGAAGTGTTGTTTGAGTCCTATGACAAATCGAAAGCACCTGCAGGATCTGGCTTACTCATAATGGAAGCCACTGTTTTCTGATATTTTATTATCTGAACTCATTTCTAAATCATATCATTTCAGTGGTTCACATGGTTAATTCAGAACAATGTGCATTTCCAAACACTACCAAACATTGCTTTTACTGATTATTTACATTTACTTTCCTGCTCTTTCATTTTTCTTTTCAGCTACTTTCAGTCAAAGAGTTAATTTGAAATGTGCAAGAAGTGCAGACTTTCACTGACGGTAACTTAACAGTGATGAACAGCAAATTAGCCCCAACTGGAATTATGTAGTGAATAAAAAGTGGGTGTTTTTTTTTTTTATTATTATTAAAAAGGGAAACTAAAAGCAAGTACTGAGTCTGACATGACTGTGTTGTTGTACTGATGCAAGTAGAGCTGTGGACATTTACCTTATTATATACATTATTAACACCCCCCCAGTTTTAATTAGGGGATGCTTTGCCTTCAGCATCTGTCTGGTTGATGAAAAGTGCTGAGTCAGTTCATTAAATTTGTTTTAATACTGATGCAGAAAACAAACTTTTAATTCTACATCATTAACATCTTCAATGACTTCACTGTCAGAACCATCTTAAGTCTAACATGTCATATACTGCATGCCTTCATTTTATCTTTACTCTCCATGTTTCCTATATTTGCTGGTTACGTCATAAGCTATAAACATAATTGTTGCTTATTTAACAACACAATATGAAACCTTTGGGAAACCTTTTGAACTTCAGAGGTGAGGCAAGACGTTTTTGTGCCATAAACTATATGAAGTGCAGCCTGCCTCTGGCTGTAGAGAGCCGCTGGTGCAGGATTTGACAGTAACTGTACAACAACAATGACAGACGGTAAACTGCACGTATTGATCTACATACCTAAATTCAATAAGAAAAGATCAAATGGAAGTGAGTAACAAAATTTACTGAACAGATTTTTTTGACGATTAGACTCCTGCGTCTTCATTAGGCGCAGAGCCACATGAAGATGGAAGACAGGATGATCCCCTAGAGTCTAGACAGTGGTGGTGGTGTGGAGCAGCTGACTGGTAGTTAGAGCAGGTCTTGGACTGTGACCCTGGACATCATAGAGGTTGTGGTGGTGTTGGGGAGGAGGTGGGTTGTGCAATCGTAGGTCTGAAAGACAAGCAGGCAGAATTGCAGCTGACTTTATAGAACAGCAGCCAGTGACTGATTGGCTTGAGAAACACAGGCAGAAAGATCACTGGTGACATCAGGTGAAGGTGGAAGGAGATTGACAGCGTGGGGATGTAGACTGATCCAAAGCAAACAGCCCACATCAACTCACTGTAGAAGAAGTAGAATATGAAGTAAGAGATCTTCCCTGTTGAATTTTCACCAAAGCTTTCTTTTTGGCCACCTGCTCCTCGTTTATGTTCCTACTCCTTATGCACTTGTGTCGTGTTCTCTGTTGTTTTGTTCGCTCTTGACAAGACAAATTTTTCAGTCTACACAGTAAAGACTTGGGCTCTTCGCTGCAGTTTGCAGTTTGAGGTCGCTGCTGAACATGGTTGTGAAAGCAATGGGGTGACTACAGATTAGGTTTTCTCCCTTTTGCCTCAGATGCGACCGTAGCACTAATTGTTTTGCGTGTGTGTGCGCGCCAGGAGACGGAGAGTACAGAAAGCACTCTGTCCTTGGTTAAGGCAGCAAGCTGACAGCGAGTCATCCATCTCCGTCAAGCCCCGTGTGTTTTCACTGTCTTGTCTGAAATCAGTGGCTTGGACAAAGAGACGGACCCCACTGCTGGAAGAAAGGTTTAGTGTAGGAGAGAAACTCGCTTGGGGCAGGTTATAGTAGCATGTATGACTGTGAAGTGGCACTCAGTCAAGTGTGAAGACAATTAACACTGAGGCAAAGTATAAAAAGAGGGTCAGACATTGTGCTGTAGAAAAGTGCAAATGGAATCCAACTTTCTGTTATGTTATAACAGCATGAGTCGGCAAGGTGGGGGTCGTTGCAGTTTCTATAAGGTATATCTGCCAAATGGTGGCAGCAGAAGAGTCAGCTGCACTATTACATAATCACCCAGGAAACATTAACAATTTATCTTAATCCATAAAGTTCTCATACCTGCATTACAACAATGCATAGGAGAAAGTATTTTTCCAGTGAAATGCCAAAAAATAAAACCAAATCCTTTTGTAAGTTCCCAGGGGGAAATGGATTTAGTTCACATTGACAGAGGACATAGAGAAAATCTGCAGAACCTCACATTAGAGAAACTAAGGGCTAAAAAGGTGCAGCATTTTTATGCACTAAATTACTTATCGTCGTTGCTGATTCATTCCCCGTCGGTCAACTAATAGCTTAATCGACTACCTGTTACAGCACTGTTATGGGTGTTAGGTATTTATGACTCAATAGTTAATTGCCAGGTAATCCATGCAGTGTCTGTTTTATAAAATGTCCTTACCATACAATAATTAATCTTAGAGTAAATTAGTGATTTTGCGGTCAGAGGGCTTCTTTCTGCTGATGACCACCTGGCCGTCCCTGCAAATCAAAGACCGTTTAAACCTCATTTTCTTGTCTGACTGATCTGCTGAGTGATCTGCCTTTTCATTAATATCTCACTACACTGGCGGATTGTAGGATACAGATACTGATTTATATGTTTTTGGCAGTATTTGCAGTGTGAACATTGAGGGGGGGGAAATGTGTTTCTAAAGGTTGGAAGCTAATACCTGTTCAGTTCCCTTAATGTTTTGGACTAATAGATTTCACCCTGTTTCTTTAAGTGTCTGGAGTTTATTTTTACTTTGTTGTTCCCCTGGTGTCACTTATCCAACTTTTTTTGTTTTAATTTGTACTCTTCACTGAGTATAAATGTTCCATGGTCCATTTACAAGACAGAGCCATTCTGCCGAACCCAAAAGCTGTGACAGCTCTGAGAGATAGGATGTAGGAGCCCTCGTCTTCTAGGCTGTGATTGGCTCAGAGCTTTATTGACACAGGCTGCTGCCACATGTCCAATATGGACACTTCACTGATGACGGACAGTGCAGGACTGTTGGCAGCCCAGTCCTGAACTTTAGTCAAGTTTTCTTTTGAAATCCCTATGACAAAGTGGGTTTCCTGGTAAGTTAACTTTAGTAATCTGTTAATATTAATACTGGGACATAGGAAATATAACCTGGGGTTAGGTATGTGTTGCAGATATTAGTTGCTCAGTAGCTGGAGAGTGACACAAATGTCAAGCAGTGATCTGTTAGGATCAACGTAACACTGACCAATATTCATTTTTGGAAAAACAAAAAATATTACCAAAATAAATGTCTGGTAAAAAGGATGGATGCCCGTACATTGCGTTAGCAGTCACAGGTCTTGGTTTTAGCTTTTGTTACACATGTGCAACTCTCAAGTCCTAAAGTGTCAAACAAGTCCCAAGTTACTGGTGAGAGTCACGTCGAGTTTACTATAGGTCAAACAAGTCACAAGTTCAGTCATACAAAATTCTGATGATCTGATAATATTATGGGAATATCACATAGTTAAATGAGACTTTCACAACCCTCCTTTCATTAATTGTGCATTCGTACATTATGAACTCACCATTAGCTATTAAATAAACAACCAGCTTCATTAACTTTTTAATGAGCAGGATCTGTATAGAAATGACAGAGGCAGCGAAATCAAACGAGCTGACTTCCTTTATGCAGACTGAATCAATAACTCTTCTGCTGCCAATTCCAGCTGAGTCTGGTGTCAGCTCCAGTCTGACCTCTCCTTGTACCAGCTGCGACATAACCGCTCTGTATTTGTTATTGTAAGGCTTCGAAGCTTCATAGGACAGGAGTGTTTATCTGCAGATAAACGCGAGTGTCACTCTGTCCAAACACACCGACTCAGAGCTGACTGACTGCTTGCCAGGTTTAAAATAATCAATTTCACTGTCTTGTTAAATTTCTGTCAAATTCTTTGTGTGTGCTTTGTTACCAGACCTGGTTATTCGCAGTTTAATAAGTTTTACCTCAAAAAGTACTGGAAATGTTTTTTCTTCTATTAAATACTTTCTTCCAAATTCCCTAACTGTTCTCTCCTTTGGCCACGCTGAACACAACAAGATTTGATAGTCAGGTTTAAAAAAAAAAAAAGGCATTTAAAGTAAATGCCATTTGTCAGATCTGCAGCACGGTGTAAATGATCCTTCTTTTTTTTTTAAGGCTGCCACTGAAGTGTGACTTTAGCGAAAGGCAGTGAGCAAAACCTTTAAATAAAGTGGGTGTGCAACATGAAAAGCCTATCGGCGCGGCTCTCAGTGAGATGTTAAGAGGACAGGACAGGCTGATGAGAATGAATGGGAGGCCGCCAGCCCACCAGCTTGTTCACTCTGCATGTATTCAATTTTCCATTTCGATTTCTGTCTCTCTGCCTTTATTCCTTCTCTGGTCAGTCTCCCTGTAAACAAGGCATTTGGCAAAAAAGTCTTTTTCCAAACTATTTGAGAGTATTCTACAACTTTGGCAGGTCATTTGAATAAATTTAAATAGATTTTACCCTTATTGATTTTATGAATATTTTCCCTTGTCTTGAGAAACCCAAGCATGTTATGCTCGGAATAAAAGTTGATATCACAAAAACAGGCAAATGTGATCTGACTGAAATAGGGCCTGAGCCCAGTGGTTCCTACTGACGATATAAATCTGCTAAAGCCTGTTCTAAAATGTCTAGTTTTACATATAGATAAATTTTAAATGCAAAATTTTCATAAACAGCTGGGCGCCGTGGCTTTTAGCTAATGTTACTTTGGTGCATTAGTTGTTTAATCTTTTGAGATGCGTATCAATGCCCGTTTGATTACTTCATCTTACTCCTTCCTTCCCTGTCTTTCATTCAGTCTCCTCCCACATGACATCACATGGAAATTCGTCAGGCCTTGTATATTTTGCAGCCTTTTTACTACACAGTGACACCACCCAGGAGGTTAGGACTCTTCCATCTACCTCCATACTCCTTCACCTGATCCTCCTGCATTTATTATTCACCCTACACATTCTCAGCCTGTGAAAAGTGCCATATGAGAACAGAAATTATGCCTGCGCTGCTGTACGAATAGTCTTAGTTTAATTAAACTGTCATGTTTCTCCTATTTTGCTGATGGTTATTTTCATTCAGAACCATATCTTGTAATGAAATTTGTAGTCAGACACAATTAATGTGATACAAACGCACACACACACAAGTGCACAGAATTGATCGGCTTCCTCCTTGGTGAAACAAACAGTATCCGGCTTTGAATATTGAGTGTTACTGTCAGAGTTGCTTATTGTCCTCTGAGGGCTAGGTGTGTTCTTGTAGAGGTGTGTTTTCTTAACTCCTTGATAAGAGATGTTCTACCAATAACATATTTTTTATCTGCTTGCTGAGGACACCACTTCCTGGAGGCGTCTGTGTCATTATCAGTACACACTGTAGCTGCTTTATGAATTAGTTTGCTCGCCAGCCACAGGAGTCGTATGGGCGACACTGGTTGTGCAATGTTTTTGCCATATTGTAATCTTTACACATCTAGTCTATTTTGGCAGGCATGCATAAGAGAAGCTTGGAATAATACTTTTTTAGGATGAGATTTCATCCTCTGTATAAAAAAGAAGAAACGAGATATGTTGGACTGTGCAGCAACATTGAAAATTTCTGGAGAAATGCGCAGGTCATTCCTTTTTATTACTTGTAACTAGAGATGCCGAGCTACAATTAGAAAAAAAAACAACCTACAAAACCTATATTGAGTTGCTGTCCTCACACTTACTGTGTGTTTTAATGACTTTTGCAGTGAACGTTTATTGCATCGTCCTCAACAGTGTACTCACCTACATGAAATCAAAGTAGAAAGACGCTGAGGTCATACTTGGCCACAGTTGTTGTCTTTTGGAATTGGCTGGAAGTGGCTTGTTGTGAAATATGTGTCACATTGCTTAGTCAGTATTTGTAGAAAATGGTGCCATCCTCTCACTTCATCCTCTTAAATCATACTGTTAAATCCTCTTGTATCGTAACTCCCTTAGTAATGCGGAATCTCTTGCACTACATCATCCTTTATCCCTGGATATTGCTACCCTGCTGTAATTACAACCAATTTCAAGGTGTACATATTGATTCTGGACTCAGTTTGCTATTTATTATGCACTAATAGGATGTTATTAAGATGTGATGGGGAAAAGTTTTTAAGTGTTTAAGGTTATGGAAAGATCAAATTAGGATGAGGTGGCTGTAGATTTTCTGCCTTTTTAAGGGGCTTGTTATTTGCTTAAAATGATCACTGCAGTTAAGACAGTGCTGTTTTTTCTCGATGCTACACAGTCAGTAGGAGCAGTGCTAAAATCAGATATCCATGGGGCCTTTGACGAGGTTTGGGGAAATGTTTGTTCATTTTCCTACAGTGCATGCGTCTTTATCTTTTCACCAGGTTCTTCCACAAAGGATGTGGGACCATCGCTCGGCCTAAAGAAGTCCAGCTCTCTTGAGAGCCTCCAGACGGCTGTTGCCGAGGTAACTCTCAATGGGGACCTCCCGTTCCACAGGCCTCGCCCCCGTATCATCAGGGGGCGTGGCTGCAACGAGAGCTTCAGGGCAGCCATCGACAAATCCTACGACCGCCCGCCAGCCACAGAAGAGGATGATGAGGGGATGGAGACATGTAAGATATCTTGTGTTCCATGTTCAGCCGGTGTTTAATGAGTGTTCTCTGTTCCCACCACGGTCCAGGTGTCACATCTGTCAGCAGCTGGACAGGAGTCCTGTCAGTGTCCTTCAGCAACATCCTTCAACCTCTGTCCCCTTATAACTCACGGAGCATGTCCAAAATGTGACATTTTACCTTGATGGCTTCAGTGACATTGCATCGTGGGTTACTAAATAATCACACTAACTGAAACCGATGAAGTGCGAGCCACTAAATCCCTGATGTAGCTTCCATACTTGTGCATGAGAATGACAACATTCTGACTAATGCTCAGTACCTGGAAGCTGAGTGTATCACTGCTTGTGGCAATGGCATCTCATATCTACTGGAACTGTAATCAGAATATCAAATGCATCATAAAGTACTGTCATAAAGCACCTGAGAAAGGAGGAGTCAGGAGAATGATAGGCTGGCATCCTGTCAGGAGACTGGTCACACATTAAGCTGCCTTCTTTCAAGGTCATTAAATTAAAACAATAACAATAGTAATATATGAATGCAAAACAACGTTTGAGTCATTTTCATAGGTGTCACAATACAAAATGCATACACTCCAAGATCAACAAGCCTCGTAATCTGTCCTACAAACTATGATGTTTGTAGAATATATTTGTAAATTAACATGTCATAGTGGTACTATCAGTTTATCAGTGTGTAGTAGTCTCCAGAGATTACCGTCTCATTGTGAGCAGAGCTCATCCACTACTTTTAATGTGCAGTTAGATTGTATGAGGCTCCTTCTGGCGCTCAGGAGACATAATTGCATCATTGTGAGACAAAGATTTTCATTTATGTGGCTAATGGATTTTTATATGTGTTACATTTCTACTTATAATTACATGCTCATTGGTTAAGCATTTCCCCCCCATTCTCCTCTGTGTTTCCTTCTTTTTCTTTCTGTCTTCTCCTCCCTACAGTGGAGGAGGACACAGAGGAGAGTTCACGATCCGGGAGAGACTCTGTGTCCACGGTGGCCGACCAGACCCCACTGTCCAGCACAGAGAAACCCCTGGTCAACGGCACCAACCGCACCAAAGAGGAGAAGAAGAAAGACAAAGACAAGAAGGGGAAAGCCAAGAAGGGCATGCTGAAGGGACTCGGGGACATGTTCAGGTAAAGCTAATACTACTTTGGGAGTGAATCCAATAAAACCGTCAACTTGCCTTTCACCAAGTCAGCTTGGTGCACAGTGTTTTTACAGAGGCGCAAGCAAGACAACACTTCACAGCTTATACACTAATAAGTTTTATTTCAATTTTGAAGATATTCCTTTAATGTACAGATTCAAAATTTACTCCAGTGGCCTAAGAAGGGAAGTGCAGTCCTCTGCAGTAGGAAGACTTAAAAACACAATCTACATGCAAACTGTGAGGCCTTGTGTTCAGAACCTGCAGCACTGTTGTAAGTGCTGTGCATTGTGCAGCAGGGATATTTTCAGTAGCACTGCAGCTTTATGTGACGACTGAGTTATGTTCAGTGTCAGTGTCTAAACTCTCATCAATATCTACTGTAAACAGCTGATACGTCCTTATTGAGTGAGGTTTTTGTGCTGACCTTCTGTGTGAAGAACAAGGCCCTTGAATTACCCGCTTGCTATGTCAGCTAACATACAAACCACCTATAATATTTAACAGACACATTTTGCCACACTTACCTAAAATAGTCACTGACTGTCTGAGTGAGGCAGACCTGAGCTGTGCAACCACAATGTAAACAGTCTGAGAAAACCCTAATTAGACTTCTAGACAACTTAACCTTTGTGGTTCATTTTCCTGTTAATTATTGTTTCTCTGCTGCCTCCACCATTTCATCTAGTGATGGGAATAGTGAGTCTTTGAACAGAGCCATAAGATCTGGCTCTGTTCCTTCCATAGAGCTGTTCAAAATAACCCCCCTTATTTCTCTGAGTCTCTGCCGTGTTCTGCTTGATCACTGATGCTTGCTACCCAGTCTTAGTGGAGTGTATTTAGAACACAGGGAGTGAGATTTGGTCAAACGGCTCTCAATCACTGCTCGGTTCCCTTCATTCAGCCATTGAGTAGAATCATTCACGAACGTAACGTCATTAATTTCATCTGTCAAACAAATTCCTTACAGCTAAACAGACAAATGGTCTCGCCTGTGGACACGTCCTACTAGTGCATTGTCTGTACACTTCCTCTTCTGTCTCCAAAACAGTGACTGTTCAGAGGAATGTAATGAGGTCTGCAGGAGGGAGAGGGAGGCAGAAAAGATGGAAGATAGGGAGATAGAGTCGGCTGCCATGACTAGTGAAAGAAAAACAAAACAAGAGTGTTGGAGACGAATAGAGGTCTAATACTGTACCTTTAAAGGGAAGAGAGAGAGATATCAGACAAGCTGCAAGAAGATTTCAACAGTGAGGTGTTGAAATGCATGTGGATCAAATTTACTTTGTCATATATCAGTGTAAAGGTTTATTTATGACTGTGGAAATAGCAGCCTGACAAAATAGTCTCAATTCAAGGTGGACAAACTGGAATGATTAGCAGGGAGCTCAGTCAGTCATTGTACTCACATGGTTGAGGGAGGACTGAGTGAGCACAAACTGCAGATACATGCAGCGGGTTTTTCTAAGCCAAATACACACACAACAGGCCATACCATGTTGGACCTCCTCCATGAAAACACCGTCTGACCGCCTGTTTGATTCGAGCCCCGTGTTTACTGGCAGAGAATAATGATGTGAGCTATGTTCAGCCCATCAGTAAACAAGACTGAGGTAGATCACCGTACAGGAACATTTTTCATTTTAGAAAAGGCCAAGAAAAGGGTTTTTATTTCACCATTTTATACTTTATCACATTATATTAAGTATCACATTCAGAAGTTCAGCGCAGCAGTAATTGAGAATCTAAAGGAAAAAGCATCTCGGTACCACCCACATTGCTTGATTGACAGGTGATATGAGGGAGCTACAGTTCAGCAAATATCACAGAAGTGAGCACTTAGCAACAAACATGTTTCTAAATGCTGCAGGAAAAGTTGCCAGAAATTTCCTGCTTTTCTTGTGTCAACGTCAACATGTCCTGATGAAACGGCACGCAGATGTGTGTGTTGGCCCAAACCACACAAGGTGCATGTGTCGAGAACAATTGTACTGTTTTTTAAAAGCGTATAAAATGTGATGTGAGTAAGTTGGTTCCCCCGAGTGGCTCTACAGCGAGTCAAGAGCTCCCGATGAGTGTCATGTGTTTGAGTGAGAGAGAGAGAGAGAGAGCATGTGTGTGAATGAATGAGTGAAGGCTTTTGGTGCAGGAGTGTCAGCGTGCTTGTACTTCGATGTGTGTTTGCATGTTAGGGGGGATCGGGAATGGGACACCTCTGTAGAAGTGTGTGTGTGGTGTGTGAGATCAACAGAGCTCCGCTGCCTGACCCTCTCATGTCTCGAAGGCCTCACACTCAGTCCCAATCAAAGCTTCATTACCATCAACCCCTGCCAAGAGAACAGCCTGCCAACCTTGTAGCCATCTCTCCTTCTCTCTCTTCCTCCCTTTTCCCTCTCTCTCTCTCTCTCTCTCTCTCTCTGATCATCACTGGGACTCAGAAGCAACACCCAGTCTGTTAACTTGGCATCAGCGAAGATGGTCGCTGCCCAGAAATTCAAGGGCTGCGCTAATTTTGCAGTGGTTTTAGTGTGTGTGTGTGTGTGTGTGTGTGTGTGTGTGTGTGTGTGTGTGTGTGTTTGTGTTCCCGTGATGAACAAGTGAACAAGGCTGGACCTAGAAAAGGCTCACACTGTGACAATCTTCATCATGTGTCGCTGCAGAAGCACTGTGAAGACGTCTGCTGTTGGGTTTTCTAAGAATCTCACACTTTCACTTTTTCAGTCTGAATTTTTTGTGAGGAGCGATCTTGTCATGGACGGAGGGACGTTCATGCATCAGGCTCTGTTCCCCTGACCTCGACAAGTTACATTTCTAATAATCATGGTCCTCTGGCATTCTTAAGAGCATATTGCGATGTCTTGCACTTAGCAGTTGAAGTTGTTGTCATGCTTGTCTGTAGTTGCTCTTTTTAACGTGTTGTGTTTCTGAGTTTACAGCGGAAAACTCACAGCACCTTCCAAACTAACCCGAGAGCTCGTATTGATGAAGAGTTGTGGTGGAACACATGAAACGGCTTCAACGTTTCATATTTCATTAAAGAACATTTCATGGCAGAACTACAGGTGGCCATGATTTTATAATACTAGGTGTCAAAATTTTGAAAATGGTGGATGGTGGTAGGACCAACATTTCTGCACTTTCTTGACATTTTCATGGCTGCTGTCATGTTGTTAATCGTAGTTTAGAAACGCTGTTCAGTTGATGTTGAATGTTTCACTTTGTTGTTCACAGACTTGTTAGCTTTACTGACATTTTAGTGGGGTTGCACGTGCTGCCGTCAACCGCCCACAGCACCACCAAAGACTTGTTTTCACTTTTTGTGCCATTAACAGGAGTGGCACGTGTGGTTCTGCTGAATCAAATTAGCCAAATGCTTCTTGACATTTTGAAGTCGTCTTTTCAAACCACAGGAAGCCGTCAAAGCCCTTTATCGATGGCGTCGGGTTCATAAGACGAAGTGGGCCTAACTACGCCTGGAATATACAAACTGAAAACTGCCCTGGTGTCATAGTTGATGCTCTGTCTCCTCTTCAAACTTTTCCCATTCAGTCATAAATCTTGTGTTTGTGTGTGTGTGTGTGTGTGTGTGTGTGTGTCACAAGGAGCATTAGGCTGATTTTTAAGGGGCTGTTAATGAAAGTTAGTGGTGTGGAGAGAGAAACTGTCAACCGTCGCTCGTCATGACAGATCGCCCCTGCTGTTAGCGTTACTGGCGAGCTGTCACTCTTTCAGACGGCCACAGTTAAATTAATCAGGTAATGGACCTTATTCTCCAGGCCCCCCCGCCCCCGCTGTGGTTTCCCCTCCCCATTTCTATCTCAGTTTGTCTTTTACACTCCACAGCATCTGTACCTAATGTCCTCTGTGGGTTTCTACTCGTTATGACAATTTGAAAAAAGAATGGGAAAATTGATATGGCTGTTTCCAGGAAACATCCCAAATGAGTATAGTTACTCAGGATAAAACGAATCCCTTCTTCACTTAATTACCATCAGATGTTCGAAGTTCTACATCTAATATATTTCATTCCTTTCCTTCAAAGTCTTCCCTACATATATAGATGAGACATCTGGACAGACGTGTACATCAACTGCACCTTGACTGGTTGCCAGAGGGAAACATCCACAACATAATTAGCTCTTGTTATTATTAAGTATTCTTCAAAATAGTATTCAGTGTGTTTGTTCCAAGTACTTTGTGGGCATTGATTGTCTTAATTTGATACCTCAGAGACGACATGCAGCATAGCTCAAGCTCCGGGAGAACTCCTCTTTAAAAGTTACTTTAACAGTGAAATAGTTTATCGATGCAGTTTACCATGTTCTCAGCTGTGTCCAGCTTGTGATATAATGCACAACCAGATTCTTCATTAGCCATCCAGTGTCTTCTTTTCATATTCTGTGAAACCCACACATGGCGTTACAGCCCTGGGCAGCATCTGTGTGTGGGTTAACAATGATGCCAGACCTGAGCTGGACAAAGGATGTTATGATCTCAGACCTTGGTTTTGCAGTGTTTCAGGCTTTTGTTCACTAGGCCACCAGGACTGTTTCTGCTTGTGGTGGAGAGTCAGGGCCAGTCGGAGCTCCACTTGCGTTGCATCTTCTTATTTTCTTGTTTTCTTTCACTCTTTTTTAAATTCTGTGCCAGTTCTGTCTCAGTCTTCGTTCATTCAGGGTTTGACACACAAATAGTGTCTTCACTTGTTTTTCCACACCTGGTGTTACACAGTTCTTTCCTTTTGCTTTCTGTGTTTTTCTCTCACTGTCCCTTTCATTCATTTTTTTGATTTTCACCTTTCTTCTCATGCAGCATTTTGTTTTTCCAGGGTTTCACACACTCCTACACACTCACACCACTGGGCTTTCTCTGCTGATTCATTTAATGGTTTTGTTATTTTTTCCTGTGTTTTTCTCATTGATTTACTTTAATTCTCTTGTTTTCATTTCTCTTGCTTCTGTATTGCTTCCCATGCACATTATTCACAAACCTCCTTTATTCTTGTTTTTCTCTCTGGCTCATATTTAGGAAATTTACACTCTTCCGTAAATTCACTCACACTTCACTTTTGGGATTCTCACCTCTTTGGTTTGCTTTTGATCCTGTCGCTTTCTCTTTTCTCCACTTCCTTTGTATCTTTCCTTTGTTTTTCACTTCACTTTGTGTCTCTTTGTTCAGTCACTTGCACACACACACACACACACACACACACACACACACACACACACGCACACAAACATAAACCTCTTGAGCTTGTCTTTGTATTCGTTTGCAGTCCTAATGTTTGATTCATTGAGTTTTTGTTGGAGATGTTCATTTTTTTTCTTTAACATCTTCTGTCTCTTTCGTTAAAATACACACGCGCGCACACACACACACACACCTCTTTGGTTGCTCTCAGTGTTGTCTCTTTAGAAGTCGTAGATATTCTCGGCGGACCAATTTCCTTGCGAATAATCACAGAGGTTCATTGTGGAAGCGAGTGCGGTGCCAAAGTCATTTCTTCAACCGACTGAGGCTTTATACTGACTCAATCATGCTGAAATATCTCTGCAATGGCTCCTGTTTTGTTAAGCGCCACTCCCTCTCTATGAATATAATTACTGTGATGGGCCGCGCCTGCGCCTCGTTCGATTACCACTTCCCAACTTTAAATGAACTGAATTGGGTTTGAACTTGTGAGAAGTACTTTTCAAATGGTTCGTTTGAGGGCTTGATCGACTGCTCAGCTGTATCCACTGGGTGTTTTTGTGATCACAGATCTCTTCCTTTTCTCACCTCCAGCTGGTTCAAAGCACCGCTGAGCATGATCACATAAGCCCTGTTCTGGCGTCTCTCCACTGGCTTTTTTAGGCACTTAAAGGTATAGTTAGTGTTCCTGGAAAAGGCAACAGGAGGGAGCTGGATTTTACATGTAGACCGCTTTCACTGGGGTGAAAGGAGAAGTTCAAAAAGAGTTGCAAAGAATGCCTCTGAAATGAATCGGCAACACGATGTTTAATGGACTGGCCCCTTTATGCCTTGGTGAACTCCTGCAGTGGCGCAAGCTAGTAAGAGCCATTAGGTCCTCAAATCAGTTAGTTTTAGAGGCGCCAAGGGCTAGAAACAAGCACTGCGGTGATGGCACTTTTGCCGTAATGGCCCCAAAACTGTGGAACAGTTTACCTGTTAATATAGGATCTGCCACGGATCTGGCAGGCCTTAAGTCACTGCTCAAGACTTATTTATTTCCCATGGCTCTGGGATCATAGTGTCTTTTATTGTCTGTGTTTCTTAAAGCGCTGTATGAAAAAAGTTTGATTTCTTTGTCTTCCAATTATCATCTACTTTCAATCCAAACCAGCAGCTTATATAAAATACAAAAGAAAAAAAAACAGTAACACACCCAATGTACCAATGGACATTAATAATTCGAGCCTATTATTTCCTCCCAGGTTCGGGAAGCACCGAAAGGACGAGCGACCGGGGGAGAAGATTGATCGTAAAGGCTCCAGCAAATGGAGGTCAGAGGAGACACAGGTGTCAGTGGAGGAGACGATGAAGATGAGGATGGAGCAGGAGAGGTGAGGGCTTCATGATGTAGCACCTGCTAAATGCTCATTGGTTTTGTTTTCTGCTCGGTGCTGGTGTGGTAGTGGAGGTCTTTTGTCTGTGGACTCTCATGTGCTTTCCTACTCCGTTATCAAAGTGGGTGGAAATTTGTATTCATACTGAGCAAAAGTGAGGATTACTCACAGGTTATAAGTAAACAATAAATCCATAGAACTGACCATCAAAACTGCAGATCCATTATATA